CCAGCCCAGGGCTGAGATAGTCACTTCAAGAGGTACAAGGAACTCTGGCAAAGTCAAACATGGTGGGCACACCAGTTAATCCAGGTGCTCCTGAGGCTGAGGCAGCCGAAATCTTGCAAGTCTGGGTTACATTCTGAGTTCCAGACCACCTGAGCTACATACATGACATGGTTTCAAAAAAAGTCAAACCAGAGGTCTAGGGAGGTGGCTCCATGGGTAAAGTGTCTGTTACACAAGTCCAAGGACGTGAGTTCAAATCCACAGCAACCTTGTAAAAAGCTGGGCACTGCAGTGTGTATCCATAACCCCAGAGTTGAGAAGGTGGAAACAGGCAGATCCCTCGAGCTCACTGGCCAGTCAATCCAATCCAATCAGTGAGCTCAAAGGAGGAGGAAGGGAGGGAGGGGGAGAGAGACAGAGACAGAGAGATTTTTGCCTCAAACAATAAGATTGGAGCATGCTAGAGGACCCCTTGCATGGAACTCTGGCCTCCACATGTACACACAAAGACACCACATGTGCACACACATGCACAGACACCAACAAACAACACACACATAGGCCTGGAGTGCTTGCACAGACCCTTAATCCCAGCACTTGGAATGTAAAGGCAGGCTAATCTCTTTGAGTTCCAGGCCAGCCTAGTCTATATAGTGAGACATTGCCTCAAAATAAATAAATAGCCAGAACAAAGCAATTACAAAAAGGAAACATTGCAGGTATTGGGGTTCGGGAACCAGGACCAGGATCAGTCTGAGTCACCTGTGAGAGAGAGGAGAGGGTTCTGTCCTCAGAGGCGGCATCCTCCCTCTGAAGGGCTTGTGTGCTGGGATGGCACGGCACTCTAGCAAGGCTGGCCAAGCTTAGGTGGATACCGACCCCAAACCACATTATAAAGGGGACATTTTCCCCTTTGTCTACCCGACTTAGTGTCTTTTTCACTTGGTTCCCAGAGGTGGCTCATATCCATCTTCAACCCTAACTCCAGGGAATCCAATGCCTCTGGACTCCTGGAGTTCCTGCCCTCAATAGCAAAAACCATATATACGTACAAAGAAAAAATTAAAACCAGAAATTTTCATCTCAAAACAGCTAACCTATGCAGGCTAATCTCACAGTAAGTGTTGGGCAAGCTAATCTTTGCAGGCTAATCTCACAGTAAGTGTTGGGCAGCACAGAGTGCCACCACCGGAACCCTTCCTCTCACCCCACTCAGTGCCACTGGGCACCTCCCCCAACTGTGATCAATCACCAGAGTGTCTACAGTGCGCAGCTCCACCGCATTCATGATCGACGTCACAGGGACTGCCATACAAAAACCTGGCTGGGTTAATGCCTGGTCGCCCCATCATGAGATACTTCACGTCTCTGGTGTAAGTTCAAGGTTATTGAACCCCACACTGAACTCAGGTCACCAGGCTTAGTGACAAGCACCTAAATTGCACACCTTTGTGGCGATGAAATCCTTAAGCATTTGAGCAGGGATCCTGTCAGTTATGCTACTGGTTGTAATTCTGTCCCTGCCTTGTTTTTTTGTTTTTGTTTTTTTTTTGTTTGTTGTTTTTTTGTTTTGTTTTGTTTTTTGGTGGGTGAGTGGAATTCGAGACAGAGCTTCTCTGTATAGCCTTGGCTGTCCTGGAACCCTCTCTGTAGACCAGACTGGCATCAAACTCATAGAGATCCCCCTGCCTCTGCCTCCTGAGTGCTGGGATGAAAGGTGTGCCGCCACCACCTGTCCCTGTGCCCGGGTTTTAAGGATTCGGTCTCTTCTGCAGTGCCTGGGACTCTGGAAGAGTACAAAGGGTGTCCACCTCCATCACTTCCACCGTGTCCCTGTTACTGGGGACAGAAGGTGGTGGGAACCTTCAGAGACGCTGCATCACGGCCCCAAGACTGAGCCTGCTGAGGAAGAACCAGAGTCCGGAGGCAAAGGCCCATTTGTTCACTGCCCCAGGGCTGCAAGAATATTCCTCCAAACCCCTGACTGTGGAGCAGCAGATGTGTAGCTGTGTGGTCTGTGTGCCTCTCCTGTGGCCTGCCATATGCCATGGCAGCAAATGTCCTGGTTGGCAGGGTAAGCTGATTTCTGTCCAGCTCACTGCACATTAACCCTGACCCATTCAGCTGTTCGCCCACCTGCAAATCCCAGGGGCAGGGTGGCCATCTCGGTGTCACATGAGCTATGGACTGCACAGGGCTCCAGGAAAAGGCTATTTACACTGGGCACTTAAAGTGGGGACCTACCAGAGAAAGTCTGAAGGGTCTGATGCAGCTTGCTGAGTGTGGCTTCACCTTGGAAAACAAGTTACATAAGAAAGAGCCTGTTAGCTGGGCGTGATGACACATCCTTTTAATCCCAGCATTGGGAGGCAGAGGCAGGCAGGTCTCTGTGAGCTCAAGGCCAGCCGGGTCTACACATAAAATTCCCTGCCAGCCAGACCTACAGTGAGACTGTGTCTGGAAACAAACAAAGAGCCTGCTGCTACTCTCACCAGGTTCACAGCCTATGCTGTCTCCATGGGGAAGGGGAGAGGTTTGGGAGAGGAAAGGGACACTTGATTTTGTTTTGTTTGCTTAAGAGGGAGCTGGTGACAAGTGTGTCAACCTGTGAGAAGCTTGGGCAATTTAGTGAAACCAGAGCTCAAAACACAATTTTAAGAGGACTCAGTGGAAGAGTGCTTGCCTAGATACATAAAGCCCTGGGTTCAATTCCCAGGGCGCTCATGCACGTGTGTGCGCGCGCGCACGCGCGCGCGCGTTTCTGTACATTCTCCAGTGTGGTGACTTCTGCTGGATTGTCTCTAGAATGGGAACACATGCTGCAGGAGCCACCTGTCTTGTCTACAGCTGTGTCCACACCAGCTCTTGCCCATCCTTAAAAATAGCTTCGCCGGGCGTTGGTGGCGCACACCTTTAATCCCAGCACTTGGGAGGCAGAGGCAGGCGGATCTCTGTGAGTTCGAGGCCAGCCTGGTCTACAGAGACAGTTCCAGGACAGCCTCCAAAACAATACAGAGAAATCCTGTCTCGAAAAACCAAAAAAGAAAAATAGCTTCTCCATTACAGGCTATTTGTCAGCATTCAGGTTCCAACTACAGTGGAAAGCTGATTCCATCCCTTTTTATTTTTTAGGGTTTCTTATTTGAGTGCTTGTCTAAATACATGTCTGCATACCATGCCACACTTGTGCAATGGTCATGGAGCCAGAATCAAGTATTGAATCCCCTGCTGCTGGAGTTACAGACAGTTGTGAGCTACATGTGGGTGCTGGGAACTGAACCTGAGTCCTTTGCCTGCTGAGCCATCTCTCCAAACCCTACTTTGGAGTAGTTTTGTTTTTTTTGAGACAGGGTCTCTCTATGTAGCTCTAACAGTCATAGAACTCACTCTGAAGACCAGGCTGGCCTGTAATTCACAGATTTGCTTGTTTCTGCCACCTAAGTGCTAGGATTAAATCTGTGCGCCACCACCACAAGGCTCCAGTAGTTTTTAAACCTAACCCATTTGGTATGTTTAACCTGCTGCTACCAGAAATTAATCTGTGGGTTTAATATGGCCTAAAACATCCCAAGTGCAAACTTCCAAACCTCCCTTTGTGACTCTCCTGTTCCATTCCTTCACTTTCATTCTGATTGGTCTACCAGGCAGTTGCAAACATGTTCTTAAGATTTGTAGTTATACTCAGGTATATATATGTGTGTGTGTGTGTGTGTGTGTGTGTGTGTGTGTGTGTGTGTGTGTGTGTGTGTGTGTTCTGCCTGAATGTTTATCTGTATAGCAGAAGAGGGAATCAGATTCCATGATAGTTTGCTGTGAGCCACCATGTACATGCTGGAAATTGAACTGAGAACCTCATGAAGAGCAGCCAGTGCTCCCAACTGCTGAGCCATCTCTGCAGTCCACAAACACTTGCCATCACCAGATCATCAAAATACCTGGGAAGTCTGACATGGGGGCACATGCCTGTCACTGGATTTCAAAGCCAGCATGGTCAGCAAATAAGACCCTGTCCCAAAAGAAAACACAGTGCTAGGAAACAAAGACTTGAAGGTGCATGGGACCTGGGAGTAGACATGACACACCTGCTCCAGCCCACCGTGCTGTTCAGTGGGCCTGGTCAGTGTGGTGCAGCCACTCACAGCTGAAAGTCTGGCCTAGCTTTGACTCTTACTAATCCATAGATAGATAGATAGATAGATAGATAGATAGATAGATAGATAGATATCGGTGCGTTCAAAGAGGTGACTCTGATCTGCAGAAGGCTTTGTCTAGCTATAGAAGTACACCTTTAATCCTAACACTTAGGGAGGGGACAGTGACAGGTGGATCTCTGAGTTCGAGGCCAGCCTAGTGTAAAGAGTGAGCTCCAGGACAGTCAGGGCTACATACTGAAACCCTACCTTAAAAAAAAAAAAAAGAAAAAAGAAAAAGAAAAAGAAAGAGAAGCCTGGGCCCAGAGAGATGGCTGACCACCGGTTGCTCTCCCGGGGGAATCAGGTTCAATTCACACACCCTTTTGCAGCCCATACCAAATGCATCCACTTTGTTACGCACACTGGAATTAGGGCAGACTGCCAGCTCACTCTGCTCTGTGGCCTTGGAGATGAAGCCCGAGCTCTGCTGCTGCTACCGCTCACCTACACTCTCAGCCCCCTATACTTTCTACTCTGAGACAATTCTCGGTCAGCCACACAGGTTGACCTCACTCTGTAGCTCAGACGGGCCCTGAACTTGTGAACCTCTTGCCTCAGCCTCTAGAGTAGCTGGGAAGACTGACCTGCACCGACAGGCCTCGTGAACTGTTTACCTTGTGAACAAACATAAAAAATGCCTACAAAAAAATTGAATCAAAACAGACAAAAGGTAGGAGCCAAAAGGCTGAGACTTGGATTAGAAGATTCCAAAGCAGGACAACCATAGGGCAGTTAGGCAAATGTCTCATATGTATGGCATTAAGGTAGACACGGAAGCTAAGAACTAGAAAAAAGGTTAGCAACTTCTGAGGGAAGCTGATGGCCCACAGTTTCCTTTATTTTGCTGTCAAGACTGCACTGACATTCATAACAGGTTCTAGAACGACCAATTTCCAGACAATGAAAACATTCTGCAGCTATGTATCTCTAAGGTATACATCCTATCATGTTAAGTAGAAGTAAGACTCAGTATCTTTTTTGGGTGTTTTTGCCTGCATGTATGTCTGTGTAGAAGACCTGCCTGGTGCTGGGGGAGAGCCAACACAGGAGAACTCAAAGTCAAAACGGGGTGGGGGTGGGGGGCAGTGCTAAGGCATTTCTCCAACCTCCCAAAGAACACCTTAATTAAAAACGGGCTGAATGCAAGTGTGCCACCTGTGAAGAATCCAGGTATAAAATGGATGGCCTAGAGAGCATTCTGATTGGAACAAAACTCCTGTCAGATTCCACGTCCTATGTTGAAGGTACTTGACAAGTCCCCAAAACACAAGGCAGCTCCAGAAGCAATTTTATCCTGTGTTCTCAAAAAGCTCCTTGCAAAAAGACTTCATTTGTTCCGAGACTGCGGGACCAGTATCTTCCTACATTACTGAAAAGGTGCGAATTAATGGATCCGCTCGGATGGCAGGCTGTCCCCTCAGTACTGTGGAAATGTCTCATCAATTTTGGTGGCCCAGGCCATGAGCCCCCCTACAATATCCTGGACCGTTAAAGAGTCTAGCTCTGGCACTGCCGTTAAGGACTGCAGGACCCTCACGGCTTTTTGGGAGTCATTCCCCAGTTTGCAAATCACAAACACAGAGAGATCAGCCCCTTCCTGCGAATTGCGCTTCTCTTCCCGGAGGGCATCCCCTAAGAGCTTCAGGCTGTCCGCATCCCTGCGTTCTAGCTTGTTCAAAGGGATGTGGAGGGCGTGCGGCAGACGGCAGATGTCCACCTCCACTTGAGGCCGGACGTCCAGCAGCACGTGGGGCGCTCCGCAGTCCAGGAGCCGCTTGTAATCGGTCACGGAAACCCGCTCCTCGGGGCTCAGGAGCTTCAAGGCACGGCACTTGTCGGTGGCCGAGGAGCCGCAGAAGGCCTCGTAGTCCTGCAGGCGGGTCACGGTGGGCTGCTGGCCGCACACGGCGCAGTCAGGCCGCCGGCGCCGCAGCCGGATGCGGCGGAAGTGGCCTCCGAGGCCGTCGAAGAGCAGCAGGCTGCCGCTGTAGGACGTCCCGAGCCCCGCGGCGATCTTGAGCACCTCGAGCGCCTGCACGCAGCCCAGCACGCCGGGCACCACGCCGAGCACGCCGCCGTCCGCGCAGTTGGTCACCGTCTCGGCCGGGGGCGGCCGCGGGAAGACGCAGCGGTAGCAGGGCCCGCCGTCGTGGTGGTAGACGGTCATCTGGCCCTCGAAGCGCAGCGCGCTGGCCGACACCAGCGGCCGGCCCGCCAGCACGCACGCGTCGTTCACCAGGTAGCGCGTGGGCGCGTTGTCGGAGCAGTCGGCCACCACGTCGTAGGCGCGGACCAGCTCGAGCGCCCACGCCTCGCTGAGCGCGCGCGCGTACGGCACGCACTCCACGGCCGAGTTGAGGCGGCGCAGCGCGGCGGCCGCCGACAGAGCCTTGGCGTGGCCGGCCAGCGCCTCGCCGTGCAGCACCTGGCGGGCGAGGTTGCTCGTCTCCACCACGTCGTGGTCCACCAGGCCCAGGCGGCCCACGCCGGCCGCCGCCAGGTACTGCGCCAGCGGGCAGCCCAGCCCGCCGCAGCCCACCACCAGCACCGAGGCGGCGGCCAGGCGCAGCTGACCGCGCACGCCCAGCTCCGGCAGCAGCAGCTGGCGGCTGTAGCGCAGGATCTCGTCCCGCGACAGCGCGGCCTTGGGGGGCAGCGGCGACAACGGGATCGGACGCTCGGGCTCCGGCTCAGACGCCAGGGCGGCGGTCAGCCTCCGCTTCAGCGAGGCCAGCTCCTCCTCACGCCGGGCGATCTCATCCCGTAAGGCCGCTACGTCCTCCTGGGCCGCCATGACAGCCTCTTCCGGAAGTGGGCGGGGAAGCGCCTTCCGTTTCCGGTGACCCATCTCTCGGCGACCGGGCGGCTATAGACTCTTCCTAGAGCTTGGGGAGACGAAACGAACGGGTGTCTCCCGAGGGAACCGTCACAGCCGACTTGAGACGGTCACGGAATCCTGAGTGTTTTCCAGGCAGCCACACCGAGGCCTAGGGGAGCCGGGACTCCCTCGGGCCCCGGAAGTTTGGTGCGGTCCGCGCCGGGTGACGCATTTCCGCTTCCGGTGCCTCGCGCCGCTCCGTCATGGCCTCCACGGGGGCGAGTCGCGGCGGTGCTGCGTCTCCTCGGCCGCCGCAGGGCCGCTCCTCGCGTCAGGACAAGTACTCGGTACTCCTGCCCACCTACAACGAGCGCGAGAACCTGCCGCTCATCGTGTGGCTGCTGGTGAAGAGCTTCTCCGAGAGGTAGCGGAAGCTGCTGGCGCGAGCGCCGCGGGCTGCCTGTCGGCGGTTGGCCGGCGCGGGGAGACCCACCGAGGCCTGGGCCCCGCTCCCGCCCGAGCCTCCTCGAGGCTTTCCCCGGCGAGGAAAGCCGTGGCGGACCTCCCCGCCTCTGTCTCCCGTGCTCTCTCTCTCTCTCATTCCTGCTCGGGTCTCTGGCGAGATCCGTGTCGATCTCCCGGCCGCTCGCCCCGGCCCACGCCTTCCCCCGACGTCTTTCCCCTGAAGGGGCTGACTGCACTTTTAGTTGAGGGCGAGGCCGGTCACGGCGTGCACACCGCCAGAGCCGGGAGCCCCGAGCCAGCGCTCACGCCACCACCCCAGGGCCGAGCGCTTATGTAAGCTCGATGGTCGCGCTGTCTGCTGCTGAGCAGGCAAAAGCGAGAGCGCCGTCGCCGAGCGCTGTTTGGCACGGTGATTAGAAACGGGGGCTGGCTGGCTTGCTTGCTTGCGTTCAGAAACGTGGGGCCCCGCTCAGTGCTACGCAGAGTTCTACTGAGCCCCATTCCCTGCCCTTAGGAACGGGAATTTTGACGCCGGAAGTGTTACGCAATTTTTTAAAGGTCTACGTAAACTAAAATGCCTTATGAGAGCAGTACAGAGTCAGTTGTGTCACGGCCTGGCGAGTGTCATGCTGTGGGAACCTTGGGCGGTCTTTCCCATCAGAGTACACAAACGTGTTTTTGCACGTTACGTGGAATGCCATAGCAGAGCGCTGCGTATTTAGGTCAGTCTTGTCAGAGAACATTGTCTGCAGAGCTCTTAGTTTGCTCAATGGCTTTCGCTTTTCACATGAAAACAGGATGTTGTGCCCATGTTTTTGGCAGTGAGAAAAACTTGATGTTAAGCTTGGGGGTGCAAGGGTTGCAGAGGCAGAAGGGTTGTAGCAAGTTCAGTTTCAGCCAGGGCTACATTAATAGCCCCTGTCTCAGAAAAACAAAACAATGCTTGATACATTGTTTCTCTGTATAGAAAGCTCAAGTTCACCATACTGATAGGTGAAAGCCATAGATGAGCCTTGTGTGCTTGATTGAGACAAGGTTTCAGAATTACGTAGCCCAGACTGACCTGGAACTCATCTGCCTGCCTCGGCTTCCCAAAATGCAGGGACTAAAGATGTGTGCCACCGCTCACGGCCAGGATTGCTGGCTGGGCTTGTTGTTGTTGTTGTTTGTTATTTGGTTGGATGTTTTTTGGTTTGTTTTGGTGGTGGTGGTGGTTGGTTGGTTGGTTGGTTTGGTTTTGGTTTTGACTTTTCAAGACAGGATTTCTCATTGTAACCTTGGCTGTGCTGGAACTCACTCTGTAGACCAGGCTGTCCTCAAATTTGGAGATCCACCTGCCTCTGCCTCCCGAGTGCTGGTGCCACCACCACTGGCCAGGTTTAAGATTGCTGTTTTGATTATATTGCTGAATAAGTCAGTTTCTATATAGTGGTTCTTCCATGTATGATGCATATCTTTTAAATTGATTCTGCCTGCTTTTTCCAGATTAGAGAACTTAACCATAACATTTTAATATGCTCTGGATTTGTATACTAGTTTTATGGTATTTGTTGCTCTGCTTAATTTATGAGTCCAACACCTGTACCTCCTCACTCCACTTCCCTGCTCCTTTCATTATTACATTGTACCAAGGCTGTCCTGGATTGCCTCAGTCTCTAAAGCTCTGGGGTCTGTCTGTGTCTGTGTGTGTGTGTGTGTGTGTGTGTGTGTGTGTGTGTGTGTGTGTGTGTGTGTGTGTGGTTTTGGGGTTGGTTTGCTAGGGGGTGGAGCTCCCCGCCAGTGAGCTGCATCTTGCAGTGGATGTTCTGGAATCAAATGAGGTTTAATAGGAATAGCTACAGCTCAAATGTAGTTTTGGTGTGTAGACTACCTTACCCTCTAGTGAGATGGCTTATTTGAAACCAGAAAGGGAGGAATTTTGATAAAGAATGACTTCCCTTTGTGACATACGTTTTTTCAAAATCAACATCTTCTGTGTTTTGACAAATTATATACCTATCCTAGAGATAAAAGAACAGTGGGGAGCTATCTGGTCAGTATGTGGTCAGTTGGTCAGTGCCCCTACTCTTTTGTGTATGTTGTGGAGGCAAGTTGCAAGGTGTGTGCACACACAGGCTGACTGAGAACATCTGCTACCTGCCTGCCTCTTTCACCCTCTACTTTGAATTTTTTGAAACAGGGTATCTCTCAGTCTAAAGCTTCTGTTATTTGGAGGGTTTCAACCTCCTACCTGCCAGTGCTGGAGTTACAGGAATGTCTTATCATACCCATCCTTTTGGCTGCTGAGGATCCAAATTCAGCTTCCATTGCTTGCATAACAAGTGCTGTCACCCACTAAGTCATCTTCCCAGTCCCCATTGTACCTATTCTTGATATGTAGGTTTGGTTTCTTACCTGCCAGGTTTGCCAGGGCTGGCTTTCACAATCTTGAACAGTCTATTGTTTCCTGCTTGATTTCCTAGGTACCTAATCAGAGTCAAGAGGAAGGTGTCACTTCCTTTTCCTTCCCCTTTATGTGTTATAAAAGGGGTGTTGGGAATGACAATTATGTGTACAGTAGGGGGGATTTATCTACCAGACAACTATTGCTGAATGGTTTTTAGAGTAGAAACTATTGTGTGACTATAAGGAAAGTAATTTTAAGAGTGAAATAACTGGTCAGTGGTGGCTCATACCCAGTACTCTGATGGCAGAGCCAGGCAGATCTCTTGAGTTTGAGGCCAGCCTGGTCCAGGACAGCCAGGACTATACATAAAAATCCTGTCTTGAAAAAACATAAATAAATAAATGTAAAAGTAAAATTAAGCTGATAAATTCCAAATTATTTAAATTTGCTCTTGTCATCTAAGATTTTATTTTGCTTTATTTTGAAATAAGATCTCTGGCACTGCAGGCTGCCTGTGAAAGTCAATATAGCTGAGAGTGGCCTTGAATATCCCAATCCTCATTGCTTTTAACTTGTTACTTAAAAATTTGAGAGATGATCACCCAACATTAATATAAATTTAAACTTTATTTTAGTGCGATCAACTATGAAATTATAATCATAGATGATGGAAGCCCAGATGGGACAAGAGAAGTTGCCGAACAACTGGAAAAGATCTATGGGTCAGACAGAATTGTAAGTCACAGACCCCTCTCTCTGTGGTGGCAAGGGTGGTGAGACACAAAGTCTGGAAAGATGAGAGGCAGCAGACCCTTCTGGGATCAAAATTATGTATGTGATGTGTGGGCCAGTGCTAATTCTACAACAAAAGAGCAGGCTTGGCCTCTGGCTTTATGATGGATTCTGCAAATAAATTTTCTTAATATACTGAAGAGTGACACTGTTGGTGGTGGGTTATAGAGCTCGTCAGGAAGGCATTCTTGGGTTTCTGTCTTGTTCACTCCCTTCTCTGAGTCAGCATGTACTTTGTACACAGTGCTGCCTACGGCTCTGAGCTTGTGGGTAGAAAAGGTGACTATTAGCTGACAAACAGGAGTGACTTCAGGGCTTGAAGCAGTTACAACAGAGTAGGGGAAGTATCCTATAGATACTTTCTGAATCCCAAAATCCCAAACTTGACATTCTAACTGCACCATGAAGCCTGTCCTGTAGGAGTGACTTGGGCAGGCACAGAGGCAATTTTATACTGGCTTCATGAATTTGACATTTTTGAAACAGAGTTAGAGCTTATTAGAAGATATTGTTACTATAATGATTAAATGTTCTTACGTTAATTTGTAGGAGATATTCTAAGTATATATTTAAGCATGAGGGTGAGAGAGGAGTGTCTGGACTGGGGAAAGCTCTTGCTGTCCTATAAGGACCTGAGTTCAGATCTTAGTATCTCACAGGTGCCTGTAACCCCAGCACACAAACACACGTGTATACATGCAAAGAAAGGTGCAGCATAGCTGTGACTTCACTAGCAATTGCTATGAGATATATATATATATATATATTTATTTATATTACTGGTCGTGTTTTAAATCTTTCAAGATAGTAGTGAATTCTGCTGTGGATGGCTTGGACCAAAAGCACACAGTTGAATACAGATTTAACTCTAAAACATGTTCTGGTATTAGCTGTGCATTTGTCATTTGTGCTTACAGTTCGTTGAAATCAAGGGTTTCCTGGTTTGCACACATCAATGGATGATTTGCTGTAGGGACCTGTCCTAGTGGCATTTCTGGCCTCTACCCACCCACAACATGCCATTAGCAGCTTCTCTCCCTTCTTGGCAAGCTGAAATGCACCTGATATTGTTACATGTGCCCCTTGGGGACAACATTGTCTCTTTTCCAGATAGAGAACCTTTGTCAGAGAAACAGAGGTCTTTGGAGACTCTCTAGATACTTGCTGTTCAAGAAATAGTAGTTCATCACCATAAGAAAACTAGATCTTTTCCCCTGTGGTGCTAGAGAATTGAACCTAGAGCCTTGCATGTGCTAGGCAGATGCCCTATTCTACCACTGAGCTGTATCCTCAGCTGTCTTTTGTAAAGAAAGATGGAAAGACAGTCCACGAGAGCCCAAAATAAAGGGATATCAAATATTTATTGAGGAGTCACTTGTGAATGACA